GATTAGATCACTTGCCTTGTCTTTAACTAATATCAAACCTGGTCCTGACAATGGGAATAACAGTGTTTCTACACATCGTATTGGGGATAGCCATGTAACGGATACTTGTTGGTCAATGACTGTGACCTTTGTTGACAGTATGGATTTTATCGCCACAGGTTTGGCCAAGTTCCCCAAGATGTTTGGTCTCAAGTGCGATGCTAAAGGATATTTTCCCCATCAACTTAATACACGTGACCATCAGAATGTAAAGATGTCGACTCTGCCAGATATTAAGTACTATGGTCTTGATGATATGAGTCCCTCATATGCAATGGATGTGGAGACATGGCACAGGAAGAATAGGTTTACATCTCGGTTTGATCTACAGGAAGAAATGAAACGGTACTGTATCAATGACGTGGTTATACTGCGTGAAGGGGTGAAGGTGTTTATCGACGCTTTTGTTAAGCTCGGGCGCGTGCATCCTTTAGGTAATTTAACTATTGCCGGTGCGTGTATGAGCGCGTACGAGAGCACATACCTGCCAAAAGAGATTACGATTGAGCATACACGACCCAAGCCCGTTGTACAGACGAGCAAGGAGGCCGTTACGTTTTTCAGCGGGTTGAACCAGATGATTATTACCGGTATGTCACCCACTGTATGCTATTTCAACAACGGACATGACGAGGTGACTGGGTGCAAGGGGTGGGGGTATGGTATACCTCTGAACGCAGATCTGTATAGGAACGCCAGGTATGAATACCGTGTGACTGTGGGAGAGAGGACGTTCATCGCCGATTGTTACTTGCCTGCTGCCGATGGAGAGTCTGGGCCTGGTACTATTATAGAGTTCAACGGGTGCTACTGGCATGGGTGTCGTGACTGCAATATCCATGTGTACAACGAGGGAAAGGGTGAACATGAAAGAAGGTACGTCAACACCTTGGAAAAGGAGATGACAATCAGAGCTGAAGGGTTTGAATTTATACCTGTATGGGCATGCAAGGCCCGTAAGTTTATTCAGTATTGGACACAGAATAATATAACCGATATGGTAGGACCGACACTACGTATCGACCCCCGAGAGAGTATGGCTGGAGGGCGGACCGAGCCGTTTGCAAGCCTTGTGGAGGTTGCTGGGAATGGACGGTGCACGCTACATTATGTAGACTTTACCAGCTTGTATCCATATGTTAATGCTTTCAAGGAGTATCCTTGCGGACCGATGACAACGCTGGTCAACAGGGAACGTGGTAAGTATTATGATCCTGCCGTGGAGAACCTGAAGGTTGTTGACCACGGGCTACACGCATACGACCTGGCAGAGTCTGATTGGATAGGGTTTGCCATGGTAAAGGTACTTCCGCCAAAGGATCTGCTCATTCCCGTGTTACCGTATAAGAGCAATCGTCCAAAGAAATTGTTCTTTGGGCTCTGTGCTGCGTGTATGCTCAGGGCTGCCAAATTCGATCCTGATGTTGAAATGTTTCAGGATGGTGACAGTATTAATGACCATTTGACACGTGCGGGTATGGCGGATATTGAAAGGGAGACGTTGTTTGAACCATGTAATCATACAGACGAGGAACGTAGCTGGATTGAGACGTACACAAGCGTGGATATCAAGCTAGCGTTGGAGTACGGGTACGAGTTCCCAAACGTCTACGAAATCAACATGTATGAAGGTCGAAGCACCGAGCTGTTTAAGGATTACAT